GGGGGAGGCTCTGTATGTACTGAATTGGGTGGTCTCTGTACAGGGGGGAGGCAGAACCTCCGGGTGATGGACAGCTTTTATGCATGGGGTGGGCAGGCTCTCTGTATAGAGTGGGCAGGATTTGGGTATAGAAGGGCAGTCTTTATGGGTAGGGTGGGCAGGCTCAGATGACAGACAGTCTCTGGGTGTAGACTGGCAGCACCCTCTTTATGATGGGCAAATGTCTGTTTACTGTAGGCAGTCTACACAATAGGCAGTACCCTGGGCTGGGTGGGCAGGATCTGCATGGAGTAGGCAGAGTCATCTATGTAAGGTGGGCAGGATCTGCATGGAGTGGGCAGATTCTCCTATGTAAGGTGGGAAGGATCTGCATGGAGTGGGCAGATTCTCCTATGTAAGGTGGGAAGGATCTGCATGGAGTGGGCAGGGTCTTCTAAGTAAGGTGGGCAGGATCTATATTTGGAGGGCAGAGCCTAAGGGCTGGGAAGGCAGGATCTGCATGGAGTGGGCAGAGCCTCCTCGGTGGGTTGGGTAGGATCTGCATGGAGTGGGCAGGCTCTGTGTACACAGTGGGCAGTCTGTGCTGGTGATATAGGGCAGTGGTAGGGGGGCAGCCTCTCTCTCCCAGGCAGGGTATACAGCCGGCAGTGTACGGTGGGCAGTGTCTCTCCGGGCTGGATCTGCAGGATGGGGATGACGATGCGATCTCTCCGGCCGATCTTCCTTCTCCTCCCGCTGCTCTGTTTGCTGCACATCCCGGGGGGCTCCGGGTACAGCTTCCCGCAACAGCACACGTGAGTACCGACACCCCGATCTCTGCAGACACCCCGATATGTCTCCGTGGCTCTTATCTGTTCCCTGTTATTATTCGTGTGCCCCCAGATTTCATTACCGGACCTCCAAATACACCTACAACCCCCCATATCACCTCTGTGCGCCCTAAATATACCCCGAACTCATAATATTACTTCTGTACCGCGTTACTATTACCTTCTGCACCCCTCAAGACATCCCAGTACCTACGGTGTGACCCCCCCTGGCACAGGACCCCATTACTGAGACCTTACCCTAATACCTGCAGTATAGCCCCTGGCCCTGGATCTCAGTGCTGATACTGTACCCCAATACATGCAGTGTGTCTCCTGGCCAAGCACTTCAATACCGGCATTGTACCCCAATACATGCAGTGCATGCCCTGGCACAGGACTCCAGTGCTGACACTGTACCCCAATTCACATAGTGTGTCCCCTAGCCCGGGAGCTCATATCTAACACTGTTCCCCAATCCCTCCCTTGTAAGCCCTGACACAGGACCCCATAGCTGGCACTGCACCCCAATACCTGCAGTGCAACCACTGCCACAGAACCTCAGTACTGACTCTGTACCCCAATAACTGCAGTGTAAGCCCTACCAAGGGACCCCATAGACACTATACCCCCTATCTGCAGTATACCCCCCTATCTCCCATCCCCAGGACCCTGGCTCTTACAATGTACCCTGAAACCTGCAGTACCCATAGCACAGAACACTGGTACTGATACTGTGCCTCTATACTTACATTGTGACCCCCTGGTACCGGACCACGGCACTGATACTGTACCCTGAAACCTGCAGTACCCCTAGCACAGAACACTGGTACTGATACTGTGCCTCTATACTTACATTGTGACCCCCTGGTACCGGACCACGGCACTGATACTGTACCCTGAAACCTGCAGTACCCCTAGCACAGAACACTGGTACTGATACTGTGCCTCTATACTTACATTGTGACCCCCTGGTACCGGACCACGGCACTGATACTGTACCCTGAAACCTGCAGTACCCCTAGCACAGAACACTGGTACTGATACTGTGCCTCTATACTTACATTGTGACCCCCTGGTACCGGACCACGGCACTGATACTGTACCCCCGATACCTGCAGCTAATCCCCATTATCTGCATTGCACTCCTTACCCTGGGCATTGGACCCCCATACCAACACTGTACCCCAGTGCACACAATGTATGGATAATATTACCAGTGATTAGGAGAGCGCCCCTGATAATGAGCATCGTACCCTAAAATCATGGCTTCACCCCCCTTTAGGTTGGCAGTGCCCCCTCACCTGTCACGTCACCAAATGATGTGTCAGAATGTTTTCCTTTTCCCGTTACATTGTATCACCGACATCCACCATCCCGCTCCCCATATCTCCGTGATACTGTGACCCTCTCAGTGCCTCTCCTGCCCCAATTTCCTGCAGACTCCAAGTAGCTCTGTTCCTTTCTTCAGTCTGAAGACCCCGAAATTTCATTGCCCAGCTGCCCCCGCCCCCCACCAGGCACTGCTCCAAATACTTCCCACTAGTTACAGCGCTCAGCTACTTCTCCTGCACCTGACCCCCGGCCCATTAATAGTCCTATTATATATATAATGCTGATGTACACATGTGCCTCCCGAAAACCCTCCGCCGTTACTCTATAAATTGGAATTGCTCCAATTCTCGGCACACAAATAATTTACACCCATCACCCACCCTGAGTGTATATGGAGAAGTATGTCCCCAGTACATGTATATCTATATATATATATATATACAGCTTCATGTTTTCATAGAGGAATGGACCCGTCATGACTAATGAAATGCTTTAGCGGGTCTCCACGCAGTGATTGACGGAAAATATCAGCCCGTCCCGATGTGCAGTTGTAGAAATGGTTCCTTTATATCGTATTGTATTGGTGGTGATGGTTGTGTATTGGTGGTGATGGTTGCGTATTGGTGGTGATGGTTATGTATTGGTGGTGATGGTTGTGTATTGGTGGTGATGGTTATGTATTGGTGGTGATGGTTATGTGTTGGTGGTGATGGTTATGTGTTGGTGGTGATGGTTGCGTATTGGTGGTGATGGTTATGTATTGGGGGTGATGGTTATGTATTGGGGGTGATGGTTATGTATTGGGGGTGATGGTTATGTATTGGGGGTGATGGTTATGTATTGGGGGTGATGGTTATGTATTGGGGGTGATGGTTATGTATTGGGGGTGATGGTTATGTATTGGGGGTGATGGTTATGTATTGGGGGTGATGGTTATGTATTGGGGGTGATGGTTATGTATTGGGGGTGATGGTTATGTATTGGGGGTGATGGTTATGTATTGGGGGTGATGGTTATGTATTGGGGGTGATGGTTATGTATTGGGGGTGATGGTTATGTATTGGGGGTGATGGTTATGTATTGGGGGTGATGGTTATGTATTGGGGGTGATGGTTATGTATTGGGGGTGATGGTTATGTATTGGGGGTGATGGTTATGTATTGGGGGTGATGGTTATGTATTGGGGGTGATGGTTATGTATTGGGGGTGATGGTTATGTATTGGGGGTGATGGTTATGTATTGGGGGTGATGGTTATGTATTGGGGGTGATGGTTATGTATTGGGGGTGATGGTTATGTATTGGGGGTGATGGTTATGTATTGGGGGTGATGGTTATGTATTGGGGGTGATGGTTATGTATTGGGGGTGATGGTTATGTATTGGGGGTGATGGTTATGTATTGGGGGTGATGGTTATGTATTGGGGGTGATGGTTATGTATTGGGGGTGATGGTTATGTATTGGGGGTGATGGTTATGTATTGGGGGTGATGGTTATGTATTGGGGGTGATGGTTATGTATTGGGGGTGATGGTTATGTATTGGGGGTGATGGTTATGTATTGGGGGTGATGGTTATGTATTGGGGGTGATGGTTATGTATTGGGGGTGATGGTTATGTATTGGGGGTGATGGTTATGTATTGGGGGTGATGGTTATGTATTGGGGGTGATGGTTATGTATTGGGGGTGATGGTTATGTATTGGGGGTGATGGTTATGTATTGGGGGTGATGGTTATGTATTGGGGGTGATGGTTATGTATTGGGGGTGATGGTTATGTATTGGGGGTGATGGTTATGTATTGGGGGTGATGGTTATGTATTGGGGGTGATGGTTATGTATTGGGGGTGATGGTTATGTATTGGGGGTGATGGTTATGTATTGGGGGTGATGGTTATGTATTGGGGGTGATGGTTATGTATTGGGGGTGATGGTTATGTATTGGGGGTGATGGTTATGTATTGGGGGTGATGGTTATGTATTGGGGGTGATGGTTATGTATTGGGGGTGATGGTTATGTATTGGGGGTGATGGTTATGTATTGGGGGTGATGGTTATGTATTGGGGGTGATGGTTATGTATTGGGGGTGATGGTTATGTATTGGGGGTGATGGTTATGTATTGGTGGCGATGGTTGTGTATTGGTGGTGATGGTTGCGTATTGGTGGCGACGGTTGCGTATTGGTGGCGACGGTTGCGTATTGGTGGCGATGGTTGCGTATTGGTGGCGATGGTTGTGTGTGTGTGGCTCGTACCGCGTCCTCTGTGATGTAGTGTTTGTTGGGAAGCCGCTTGTATTATTTTCTTTGCCTTATGGATTTTTCTTGCACGGCGTCAATAACTCATCGTTGCCCGGCCTTGGAAATGGTTGGTTGGGTGCTATCGGTATCAGAGGAAGTCCCTATCCCTCCCCAGGCCTGTGGGATTTGTATTATTATTATACGGGATTTATATAGCGCCAACAGTGTGCGCAGCGCTTTACAATATAAGGAAGACATTACAATCACAATACAATTCAAGACAAGATGGTAAGGAGGGCCCTGCCCCTGAGGGCTTACAATCTAAAAGGGGAGGGGCCAGTGATACATGAGGAGGGAGCTGTGTGGGGATGAATTGTATGATAAAGTGATAGTTCAGTGGTCAGGTTGAGGTGGGATCGGCTTCCCTGATGAGATGAGTTTTAAGGGAGTTCCCCGATGTCTGCCAGGCGTCATATCAATAATCAGTATTAAATATAATAACGTTCCCCCGGTGTTCCGGGCTCCTGCCTGTCCCCTCCGCCGGGGGCCACAAGGTTTGCAGTGGGATTCTTGTATATAAATACACCTGGCCCTGTATATGGAAGAAGTCGACGTTGTACAATAACTTTGCCCCGACGGCCTGTGTTGTGTTTTGCAGAGACTTTGTTATGATCTCGTTGTTGCTTTTAGTAATGTATGAGTATGTAGTATGTGTATGAGAAGAGATGACCCGACACAGGCTCTGACGTGTGACAATCTATCTATTATCTGGGCCTCGCGCTGCATTCCGGGGCCCCCCGGCGGTGACCGTGTTGCTGCTTTTAGCCGTCGCTGAGACTATAAAAGGCCTGCGGAGGGATCTGACACTCCTCGGGGAAGATATTTTTGCTATAGTAGAATATTTGGCGTTGCTTTGGGAGGGGCTCCCTATGGCTGCAGCGGCGATATTTGCTGCTTGTAGTAAAATCATTTGTTGTTTTGCAAGCAGCTGTACTGGGGCCCCCCGGAGGTCAGAGGGCCCCGACACAACAGCTCCCAGCATGATGGCATACATTACATAAGGTTCTCTGCAGATTTTTGAAGACTCAATCTTTTTTTCTATTTCAAAAGGGAAATGTCAGGGGGGTCTGTTTAGACTTTTGATATTTCCCCAAAGCCCCCCCCCAAAAAAAAATACAAAAACACACACGCATGCACACACACACACACACACACTCATGCACACACACACACACACACACACTCACGCACACACACACACACACACACAACA